ATGTTGTAAAACACACTGAACACAAAATAAATTCCTTTTGCAAATAGTTGTGAAAACATCAATAAGCTAAGTCAACATGTATCAAAATGGATCCCACAGCCTCTTTTGAAGGTCACTTCCAGTTTAGCAAGAACAGAAGCAAAAGATCGTATTTCATGTTCCTCCAGTATGAAAATCAAAGGGAATACAAAATATGATCTTTTTTTTCTGTTCTTGCTAAATTGTAAGGATGCATAACTTTGGGTGCTAATCATGTCTATTCTATAATGTGCTGTGTCTAATACTAAAATGACCACTCCTGCTTTATTTTGATTAATGTTGGCACTGTATATATCTTGTTCTGTCTCCTTTCTTTTGACCTATTTGTTTCTTTTTATGTTTAAAATGTGTTTCTTGTAGACAGCATAAACTGCTGCTTGTGCTGTTCTCCAGTCTGATTATTTCTACATTTAAATTGTGCTGCTGACTATGTATGTTTAATAAGATCATTAATGTAGTTGAGTTAAACCTGTCACCTTATTGTTTGCATTTTTAAAAAATGTTTTCTTCTTTCCATTCTTTTTCTTTGCCTTCTGGGGATTTTGTAATGCTTTTCTTTTCTCTTATTGGCATATTGTTTACATGTTCTGCCTTTCCTTTTTCTTAGTGGTGCCTGTGTGGTGTATAGATGCTTCTTTATCTGGTTGCACACTTGGTGTCATATCTCCTGGGAGGTCGGTGGTGTCCCTGACAGCCATTCTTGGTCACTGTGGTTGGTGATAGTTAACTGATTGCATCAACTCGAGAATGAAACACCCCGTGAAATTGGGTCAGCATAGTTCTGGGTGTGGCCGAAGACAGAAGATTCACCCTGAGTGTGAGTGGCACCAAGAAGCTTGTAAGCTGAACAGAATAAAAGGGAAACGAAGAAGGAAGGCTGGCTTGCTTTTTTTGAGGAGCTCCGGTCTTCACCTTCACCTTGGACGTCGTCTCCTGGCTTCCAGGGCAGATCTTTGTCCTCCTGATATGGACTTGCACGGGACACTACAGGCCTTCGACTGGATCCTTGAGCTCTCCAATGTGCAGTCAGACCTTTCGCACTCTTCCCCATCTGACTCTGTGGGCAGCCATTGTAAGCCAATCTTGTAAATTCTAATATATTTGTATATCTTGCATTAAATCTGTTTCTCTAGTAAGCACTGACTGATACAGTTAGTAATAATGTAACTACACATGGTGAATCATACAGATGTATCTCACTAGACCCCCAGCTAAGTATAGTCCTGCCTCAGGCAGATTCTGACAATGGCTCGTTTCCCCAACACTACCTGATAAGAAGGGACCTATGACAGAGGGAGTTTAGAGGGGGGAAATAAGGCAGCTTTTACAAACTAAAGTTACTGTTTAAAAATAGAGGGCTGGGGATTTAGCTCAGTGGTTTTGCTGCCTGCTGCGCAAGCACAAGGACCCCAGTTTGGTCCCCGGTACCAAAAAAAATAGACGATTTAAAGAGAGGTTTTAGTAGCAAAATTGAGGGGAAAAGTACAGAGATTTTTCTGAAACCCCCCTGCTCCCACATGTGCAGCCTCCTCCACTATCTACATCCTGTCCAGAGTGGTGCTTTGGTTACAGCCAGTGGACCAGCACTGACATCATTATTGCCCCAAATCCATAGTTTGCATTAGGGATACATAGGTCCAAGAAGCAATAAATTGTAGAAGCCTCCATTCAAACCCTCTTGGATCTTAATTCAGCCCAGGTTTTGCCAGCATTGGTATCTCTGAGCTTGGGAATGTTCCATGTCAGACCTGAGGACAACTGCGCACAGGTTTCATTTCCCCTGCACCCCAGCACCATCTACCAGTGATGGACTGCAAGTCATGCGTAACCCTAGCACCCTTCATCCTCAGGCAACCAGCTCTGAGATACAGCATTTCCTAGGAAGATTGAGCTCCTGTTACCCAAAGACTTTCTTATTTTGCCTCTTGATTGGCTGCCTTCCCTGTCTTTCTTCCCCACCTCCCTACTGGTTTGCACTGGGATTATCTAAATAGATGACATGCACTGAATCCTTGCCTGTTCCTGGAGAACGGAACTGAAACCCTAGAATGTGAAGTGCCGTGGCCCTTCCCAGGTCAGAGGGCTGTGCGAGTGGGTCTCAAAGCTTGGGCTGCCTGAGCTTCATGCTGCAACTGTTTGCCACTCCAGGGGACAGACGGCTTGCAACCTGCTTTGGAGCAACTGCTACATGTTGAGCAGTTATTCCACATTAATGCACTTTTTCCTAGCACTGTGCTGTGTATTATTTCCTTGTCACAGCACATGATAAGGCAGAAATTTCCATACCCCCCATTTTACAATGAGGGCACTGGCTAGACAGATTGTGTTACTTACCTGAGACAGGAAGTTGCAGAGCTGGCATGAGAACTCTGACTCCAGCCTTTTGGGCCTTTCCTCTAGCCGTGTATGTGGGTAAATGTTTCACATCCAGTTTTCTGGAAAAAGCCCTGCTCTTAACATTTGTTGATTTTGATGGTGTGAATACTCCCAGCATGGCTGACATAGCAGCACTGGAAGAGCATAGCGAAGAGTTCTCACAAGTCCTCTTCTGAGCTTGGGCTGGCCACGCTAGCCAATCCCAAGGCACCACAGCCACTGGTGTTAGGAGCCAGAGCAAGGAAACAGGTGGTTACGCTCACAATGTGTTAGCTGATATTATCTGGTTTTAAGAAAGGGTAAACAGCTGGAGTTGGCCCAAGTAGAAAGTGGAATTTGCCAACAGATTCAGTCTCAGAAGGAAGGGCAGGAAGCAGCAGAGCCTTAGAGGGACTAGGAGTGAGGAACAGATGCGTGGGGCCTCAGTGGTGGTCTTTGATGCTCTGTCCATCGCAGGTCAGTGATGGCTGGCAGGAAGAACACTGCCAGCTTTGCTCTAGAGCTCACCAGGTTCCCACCACCAGCAGAGAGCAAGGGCCTTTCAGATTGGATCAGGGGCCCAGAGTCTACCCCAGGCCAGGCCACTGTGGCCATGTAGCTTTAGTGAGTCTGCTTGCACTTGCTCAGGTGCATGTCTGAGAAGCCATCCAGACTAGGACAAGCCCCTCCATGTCCACAGTCCTGCTATGCTTCAAGCCAGTCATTGTACTGTGGTCCTCTTCCCCACTCCCTGACCACCCTTCTGGTGACATCCTGTTTGTCTTTCTGTCATGATGTGCATGGAGTTTGTCCCCCCAAGGTTCAGGTGCTAGAAGCCCTGTCCCCAATGTGGTGGTGTTGGGAGGGAGGTGGTAGAAACTGTAGAAGAGGTGTCCCAGCAGAAAGTGGCCAGGCGTTGAGGCTGCAGCCCTCGTATGGAATTACAGTGGTGTCTCGGTTCACAAACTTGATTCTTTCCATGATTCTGGTTGCAAACTGAGTTGGACAAGAACCGAATCAAATTCAATGGTTAGGTTCAATGTTGACCTTGTGGGGAAATTTGATTTGGATTTTGTGCAGTTTGGTTTGCAACCAGAATCATGGCAAGAATTGAGTTCATGAACCAAGACACCACAGTAATGTACTTTGTGGTTGGTTGGTTGCACCAGAGTAGGTTTTTGTGAAGAGGAAACCTGGTCCCTGAGTCTCAATGGCTTCCTGCATCAACATGTGTTTGATGCCGACTCCCAGGTGTGAGGCACCCAAGGAGCCCTTACCTGGAGCAGAATCAATAGGGCTGCCTGGGTTTAGATTTTCAGCCTCCAAAGTTATGAGCTAAAGAAACCTCATTTTCAAATAAAGTACCCAGCCTCAGGTATTTTGTTATAGCAATAGAAAATGAATTGGTATCCTCCCCTTCATTCACTCTGCCATTGTGGCCTTATTGGACCTTGCACTTTACAAGCTCATTCTCACTTCAGGGCCTTTGCATATGCTCTTCTAGGTTTTCTCATGTCATACACCCTCCCTTTATTCAGAGCTCTTCCTCAGACCACTCCTGTCTGAGCACCTTGCCTCAAACAAGCCACTCCGTCTGTCTTTTAGTTACTTTTCTCTCATTACTGAGACAAAATACCCAATGCCAAAGTTAAGGGAGGAAGGGTTTAGCTCACAGTTTGTAGAGGTTTCAGTCAATAGTTGGCTGGCTCCAAGGCAGAATGGCACATGGCAAGCAGAAGACAGCAAAAGCAACAAGCAAGGGATAAAACTAGCTTCTTTCTGTCCCTTATATTGTACCCAGGCTACCAGGATTAGGGCAGTGCCAAACCAATCAGTGGATCGATTTAGTAATCGCACACCCTTAGTCTCAGCATCACACACTCTAGATTCAGCCACTTCCAAAAAAGCCCCACACCTATGACCACATGAGGCTTTGGGGGGCCATCTAGACACATGCCATAATACCATCCTGGCTTGTTCTTGTACCTGCTTTATTTTTTTTCTTAATGTTTCAAATCATGGGATTAGACCACATACTCCAGCGTGTGCTCATGGTTTCCTCACTGGAAGGCAACCCACAGGTAGAAAGACTTTGTCTCGTTTATAGAGGAATCTCTGCCCTGGAACAGTGCTTGGCCTGTAGTAAATACTCAGAACCCACTTCTTGAATGCATGATTAGATGAATAAAGAAGGAATAGATTTCAGACTTATGAAGGATACACCTAAAAACGCGTCGATTGTGTCACCGGTTATTCTGTACTTGAGTAATATTTGTTTAAACATGAGTTGTCATTCAGAGTGTTATCCACTCCTTAGTGTATTCAGACTGGATGCTGACCAGTGAGCTTCCCAGTGCTGTGTGGGGAGAGGCTCCTGTGTGCATGCAAGGAAAGAAACATTCAATACTGATTATAGTTTGATGCCCAGTGCTGCCACCACAGGAAGGGGCACAGCCAAAGAGATGGCTTTTTGCCCTCTGCTTTTAAAGTTTCCATGCAAGCAGCAAACATTTCCACCTGCTTACAAGGCTACGTCATAGGTGCTCTCCAGAAAAGCTGTGTTTTGCTAAGCCCCACTACACTAACTCAATTATCAACATAAAAGGTTGAGGAAAAACAGCTGTTTCATTTTCAAAGAAACAATTGAGAGAAACATATTTTCCAAAGATATGAATGAAAAAAATTTTTCTTGTGAAAACTTCAAAGCAGGATAGAAAATATTCTGTTCATAAGAGAAAGTACACATTTGATCACACACAAGCCCTTTTTCTTTCAAAAGTTGGAGAGATTTTTCAGTTGAAGAAAACACAACTTTGCCTCCAGGCTGAATCTTACAGTTCTTAGCAGCAGCAGCAGCAGCAGCAGCAGCAGCAGCTGTGTTTAGCATGTCTGAACATTGCAAGAACAAATTTAAGATTAACTATAAGACTGGTGTTCATGGACAATCACTTACAAAATGAGCAAATCTCCACTGTTGTGGCGTTCTAGGTCTCATACACAACATAAAAAATTACCTCAGAAGTTGCTTTTCAATAGAAGTTGATAAATTTTGGTAAAATAAAGAATATTTGTACTGCAAAAACTGTGATTTTCACACTGAGATTCAGTCTTAAGTACTCAACATTAGATGCACATAAAAGCCTAAAATAAATACCCAGACCTCTTATGCCACCCACCAAAAGCAAAAGTTGGGCCCAGAAGTCTTGACTGAGTTTTTGATCATTCAACAGGTAACTCTGACCCGTGGCCAGTGCTGGATATTGCTCTCCTTGAGTGCTTGCCACTATGTTCACTCAGCACTGGCCAGAGCTTTCCAATAGTATCTGCCTTCTCTGGTGCTTTTAGCCTTCCCTGTGCCTGCAGCCCAGCTACTGGGTAAGCTATTTCTCCTTTCTAAAAATGATCCCGCAAGCTTCTAGTGTACTCTTCCACCTTTAAAACACCCAAACAATCCCCCTAAACCCATCACATAATAGAGATGTGGGATGCCATAGAATGAAGCTGATGGGTTAGAAATCAAATTGGGTAAAAGAGAGAAGAGCCCAGCTCCTAGCAAGTCTCTTTTGGTAGACAGTGGTCTCAGCCCAAAGGAAAGTCCTGCTGGATGACTCTGGGAAGTTACTGAACTTCTCTGACCCTCTGCTTCCTCATCTGTAAGACAGGGATGATGTTAATATTGACACACAAAGCTGATGTGAAGATTCCATGTGTGAAGCATTAGCAGAGTACCTGGCATACACAGATGGTCCATGCATGTTGGTGGTTATTACGATCATTATTAATAGTTTCAAATTCTTGAACTTAGAGTTAAGTGAAAAAGTTCAGCGTGGAGCAAGCGAAGAGAGTGCATGACTACCTTTGCAGTGAACACATTCTGATAGCTTCGAGGATATGCTGAGCGGTGGCATCTTCATCTGCATACACGGATAGCTTCTCTGGCCCACAGCAGTGTGCAGTCTAGGCTGCCCGTGTAGAGGTCCATGTGCCAGCGATTGAGAAAAAGGTCCTTTTCTTCATTGTCTAGTCAGCCTATCATAGGCAAGGCTCTTGAGAAATGATGGCAACGAGTGCAAGCCCTGCAGAGCTGCAGAGAAACAAGTGCCTTGCTGGCTTGCTAACTTTTAACACCGAAATTAATTCAGCAAGCGTTGAATATGAACTCTGCACAGGATGTCATTCTAGGAAGCAGAGACGCCAGGGAGAAGATGTGGCCTGTGGCCTCATGTTGTTCACAGTCCAGAGAGTTGACAGAAGTGGCTTCCTCCAATTTCAAGGGACAGGAGAGTAGCGAAGGCTGCTGTGTCCTCCTGTCTTCAGGGCTGGGGCTTTCTCGCCCCACTCTAGGGCTTCCACACCCCCATGATGAATAAACTGGGTTTCCTTATTCTCGAAAAGATCTTGTTTAGTGAAAAGGCTAGCTGGTGAAACAGTCTATGTATTCCTTTGTTGGGAATAAACTTTTCATGTAGTACCAAGAGAAAGGTACTCACAAGGACCTGGAGAAGAAACGCCAAGAGCGAGCCTCGTCACCTTCCGTGTTTGGAAGAGAGCAGAATGTTGCCCCTCTGAGACCCCAGGTTTTTTATTTTTTCCAGGGACTGGTCTTGCTGGACTGAGTGTCAAATCACATCATATTTTCCTTTTTGAAAATTTCCCATTGAAGGCTTAGAAGAGTGTTTTTGCTTTGTTTTAAAGTTTTTAAGTAAATTCTTGGCATCCTTTTGGATTGCTTAAAACTATCGTTAGATTATGCTGAACACAGAGCTGAATTTTACACAAAAGAAGTACTTTAAAAATGTGCCTAAAAATCTAATTTTTATAAATGGAATAACTTGCGGATTGAAAAATTTTAAGATTCCTTTTAGTTTTAAGGAGCTGGAAACTATAACAATCTAAGAGGTCTCAATTTTGAGTTTTAATTCACAGTGACCTTTCACATTTGACATGATTCAATTTCTTTCTTGAAGCCTCTCTGTTATGGCCAGCTCTCAAAAACGTAGCCTAAATGAGTTTAATGTGTAATAGAGTGTAATCGTGACTATTCTTTAAAAACTCAAATCTGCCATCTCTTCTATTTGTTTCCTGTGATCTAATTTGCTTGAAAAAGCATGCTGTGGTGGCAAGACTCCAAGGTTGACTCCAAAGGACCACACTTTGGCATCTGTGACCTCATGAGGATTCTTTTCATTGGCAAGCACCTGGTCATGACTGAGGTTAACTAACAGAACATGGAGGAAGTGGTGCTGAGCCAGCTCTGTGACTATAGACTGGACCCTCTGAGTCCTTCTCCAAGGAAATTTGCTTTCAGGAGCTCTGGGCTTATGTGAAGGAAATTTCACTAACCTGCTGCCAAGATCATGTGAAGAGGCTCTGAGACCCTATGGAGACTAAGCAAAGCCCAGCCGTTTTAGTCCTGGTACAGGCTCCAGATGACTTCAGTCCCAACTGCCTTGTGATTCCAATCACATGAGAGATCTCAAAAGAGAACCAGCAGAAGAACCACCCTGCTGAGTCCAGCCACCCACACAAAGGCTGTATTGAGCAGTTAGTTCTATAGCAAGTTAATAGTGTAAATGATAAACTTGTTAATCAGAAGACTCCAAATGATAGCCTTTCTGTTTACCAGAGTGAATTGCTTTCCTCAAAGTGATTCATATAGTAACTTGAAGGATTTTGATGGAAAAATCAAGCTTACCCTTACCATGTAGGTTAGTGAGTAGCCTACTTATTCCTGATCAAGAAACTCATCAAAAAGTGGGATTCTCTCTGTCCTGGTCCTCACGAGTGGCTGAGGTTTTTTCTCATCTCTGCCCAGTTCTGAGTCAGAGCTAGAACTATCCCAGAGGAGCTGTCCACGGGCCTCTTGTTCATGGAACCATGTTTCCATTTTGCCCATTTTCCAAGGACAATAGTAATTCCTTGCTTGATATTGCAAAAATTCTGCATCCTGTGAATTTCCTACAAAAGATGAAAAGTTATTTCAATTTAATTAAAAAAAAATTCTTTTGGTTTAGTTAAGTGCCTAGGTTTTTACGGACACAGAATAACTTGAGTTTTTTTGGAAATATACACATATAAAAGCATATATTTCCAACTGGTGTCTCTCTAAGCATCAAAAATTTTAGTTGTTATTTTGAAAATTTTAAAATCTTTTGAAAGTCATAAGAATAGTACAGTACTTACCAATATACCTTGACCCATCTCTAGTATTTTGCACAATATTGCTTTCAGCTGTGCCACTTGAGAATTAGTTGCAGTCACTCCCTTCAAAATATATCATCATAATTCTCTGGTGAACAAGGGCATTTCCCCTATATACCTACAGCACAATGATTTCACTAGAAAACTTAACACTGATATAATGCTATCTAATACAGTGGTGCCTCGGTTTAGAAACTTAATTTATGATTTGGGGAAAGATGGCTGCGTTTGTGTTTGTATGGGGAAGAGGGTTGAATTGTGTGCAAACAGAAGCATTTGTGAACCGAGGTATTACTGTATATGATCCTTATTCAAATATCTATGGGGGTTGCAATAATGCTCTTTATAGCTAGCTTTTGTTTTATTTTTTCAGGTGCAGGATCCAATCTAGGATCATGCATTGTATTTCATTTTTTTGTCTCTTCGACTTTTTTTTATTAAAAAAATCCTTACCTCTCCTCCTTTTCTCTCACTCCTTATCTTCTTCTTTCTCTAACTTCATTGTCTTAATTTTTTGTTAACACTGACATTTCAGAGTCCAGGTTAATTATCTTGCAGAACAACCCTAGACTGGGCATTTTAAAATTGTTTCCTTGTGATTAAATTTAGTTTAAATATTGTGGACAAGGATATTGGATAAGTGATGTTTCTCAGTGCTTTTTATTGAGCACTTACTGTGCTAGATTCATGATGTTCACATTTAACATTCATATCAACTCTGACTTCATAGGGAACTAGGAACTCAAGGTTATATTTTTATTTTACTAGAAGAGACTTAGCTTACTTTTAATGTGAGATTTTATTTGTGTACATGTATATGTATTTACTTTAACTTTTTATTTAAGCAGCATTCAGCATGCTTTTAGAATGCCCAGAAAAACACGGCTCTGCTCGAGAAAGGTTTGCTTTCAAGAAAACAAAATCTTCCCTAGCAGTTTTAAGCAGGAAAATAATCCTGGGTTAAAGCACATAGTCCCCCAGTCTGGATGAAGCAGACTGAGTTGTCTTAGTGAGTCATCTTAAATCTTTTGACATTTTATTTAAACTCTTGGTATTGACAGTTACATCCTATTGTATAGGAAAACCAGCATTTCTTTTTTCTTCAGTATCATATTTTTCAAAACTACTTTATTGAGGTGTGACTAACATACAGAAAGCTATGTACTTTTTTTTTTTTCGGTACTGAAAATCAAACCTAGGGCCTTCATACTGAACTACATCCCCAGCCCTTTTTTATTTTGCAACGGTCTCACTACATTGAGGCTGGGCTTGAACTTGTCATCTTCCTGTGTCAACCTCCCAGAGTGCTAGAACATTTTAAATTTATACAGCTTGATGAGTTGAAAGTCAAGCATTTTGATATGAGGGTTTATGCCTTGTGATTCATCAGAGTCCTTTCAGCCTCAGGGAAGGCTGCCCTGGTCTCCCCTTGAATATCATCACGATTATCATTGTTTTTACCCATGCAGCTCTGGCAGATCACTACAGCTAACTTGTGTCCAAAGTCCTGACCTCTCTTCTGAGCTACAATGGACTTTTTAAAAGCTGGACACCTCCGCTTTGACATCCACCTGGCCATATGTCAGCCTTGCCTCTTCTCTCAGGAACCTGCTCTGCTCCCTGTTGCTGTGGTCCAGGAAACAGTGCCACCTGTGCCCCCCCCCCCATTTTCCCAGTCACTCAGGGAACCCAGGAGCCTACCTGGCCTCCTTCCGCTCTCCATGTGCCCACATCGAATCCACGTCAGCTCCTGCCAGCTCTGTCTCCTGCGTGTCAGTGTCTGGCACCTTCTCTCTATTCTTACCTTCACATCGGTCTCCTGATGCTGGGAGCACTACACTGAAGATCACTATGGCCAGGGCTAACTTGCCTCCTCCCATGGATGAGGCAGGGCCTGGCGGGAGGGGAGCAGGAGACGAGAGAGTGCAGTGGAGCAAGGCCTGGTGGAGAAGAGGACTGTCTGCCTCCCTGCCCATTCGCCAGAAGACCATCAACCATGCTGTCGGCAGACCTTAGCCACTCTCCTGACTCTGCTCACAGACCAGCCCTTTTACCTCCCCCTGCACTTCCCTTATTTCTACCACCCTAAATAAACCACACTGCATTTGCCTAGTGGTCCCTTCTCCCATCAGGAGGCAGAGGCCCACCTGGCCCCACCTTGACCTTCTTTCTTTGTTTTGTCTTAATCTCCCACGTCATTTCTCACTCCATGGACCCTTCAGTCACGTGACCCATGGCACCCTGGAACACACACCGTCCCTCACTTGTGCTGCTGTATCCCCAAAACGTGTCTCCTACATCTTCTTGCATTTCCCGCTACCCATTCTCCACAGTGTAGATGGAGTGAATATTTTAAAAAATATCTGATCATTCTACTCCCTTGCCCTGCCAGTGTTCCCACTGATCTTAAGATAGAGTTCAAAGTCTGTGCTTGACCTGCCTTGCAAGGCTGCTGCTGAAGCCTCTGGAGCCATCCTGGCTCATCCTCTGAGTCTCCGTCCAGGGTCTAGAAGTACTGTGCTCCCACCCACCGTGGGGCTTTGGCACATGCCGTTGTTCCAGTCTGGGACAGTCCAGCCTCCTTGGTCCTCCTACTCACATACACTCTTGCTCCTTCATGTCTCATGTGAATGTCCCTTCCCCATGGAAATCTGCCCTGACCTGCAGATCACCAGCTTTTCCAGCTCGACGCTGCCTGGACATCTCCTCATTCATGATGTGTCCTGAGAAAGCACTGCAAGCTAGGAGGCACATCTGGTTGGCTTCTGACTGTATGATGGGCCCACCGTGCAATGCCAGGCACCTGGTGTGTGTGCAATAGTTATCTGTTTAATAAGTAAATAGTAAATGAATAAACCAACAAACCAATCAATGGTCAGAGAACTTTAGGAGGTGAAGAGTAATGGTAAGGAGGGCCTGGGAAAGACTTTGCTCATAGGTACATAGAGGTATTCTTTATCTCTGCTCTGCAAATGAGCCAGGAACCATTCACCCATCCCCTGAATGGAGATGAGGAATGTTCTAGGACATCTGACTAGAGGCAGAAACTTTCAAACAGAAAATATTGGTTAGTGTGGGATCTAATGCAATACTAATGATAGCGTATGTCCAAGAACACTTTTGGTGTTATGATAATTCAGTTCTAAAGTTAGTTTGTGAGCAAACTGTCCATGCTCAGCCTTGAAAATCAACCCTTGTATGTACATGGTTGTGTGTACACAGCATTACAGTTTGAGAACTTCTGAGCTAGATGTTTTGTTTTTTGTAAGATGTTTGATTTTCTGTGGTTTATAGACTTAAAATCAATAAAAATAAAAACACAACCTGTAAATTCTAAATGGGTTTTGAGTGAAGGATAGTAAAGGGAAGTATATTCTGCTCCAAAATTAATTTGGAGAGAGAGAGAGAAACAACAGATGCTTCTGTGTGTGTATGTGTGTGTGTGCTTGTGTGTGTGTATAGGGTGACTTAGGTAATACAAATGTTATAAAGCATGAAAAATGTTTGGTGGTTGTGTGTTTTATATGTTTTAGAAAAATGAATCACTACTATAGTATACCCACAATTTTACAGACAATACTATAGTTTAAAAAAACAAAGCAACATGCTTTATAGAAAACTAGTACAGTTATCCAGATAAGACCAGAATTGTGAAAGTGACTTTCAAATGATGGATGGTGACATGTCTGTGAAGCATATGGTTGTTTAACTGTAAGACATAAATTCTACCTTTTTAAATTTTGTCTGTGTTCCCATACCTTCCTTATGACAACTTACATTTTTGGTGTGCTTTTAGACATCTGAGATCAATTTTTATATAAACCTTACATGGTAGGCAATATTTATTCCCACTTGCACACGTGGAAATTTAGGTTCAGAGATTCCATAACTGGAAGTTTGTATATTATCTCTCTTTAAAGAAAAAAGCCATGCAGAAAAATGTATGGCTGTGGTTTTTGTTTTTTGGGGGGGGGGGAGCTATTATGTGCCAAGGGTATCCTGGGGCAATGAACATTTCCCATTTTCATGAAGCTGGTTTAGTGGAGCCCCTTGGGAGCTGCTGGGCTCAGTGAAGGACTGTGATCCTAACTCCGCTGTCTTGCCTCCTATTGTGTTCAAATCATGGTTTCTGAAAGGGCAGGGGCCAAATAAACACATGAAAACTCATAGAATTGTACTCCCCAAAGAGTGAAGCTCACTTTGTTTATATTATATGATTGCACAAGTTATATCACTATGTACTCACACAGCATTTATCCTAGATATGTGTAACATAAATAGTAGGTGATTGCACTGTAAAGAGGCAGCAGCAAGCTGATTTTTATCTCATGAGACAGCTGAAGCTCTTGTCCCACCTCCCAAAGAGGCACAGGGAAGGTGACCGTGCCATTAAATGAGAGGAACCTTAGCTGCCAGCTAGCCTGAAGCTCAGGCCCTTGCATGATCTCGACTGTACTCACTTGTGGGAGAAAGGCAGAGAAGCAAAGATGCTCTGAGGCGGGGAGGAGGAAGGAGTCATTGCTAGAACATCCGCCCCGCATAGGGACGTGTGCAAGGTCAGAGTCAGCCCCCAGACATGCATCCCCTCGCCAGCGGGACCTCTCTCTGTGTGACCTTGCGCATGAACCTGGTCCTCAGCAGATCTAGTCTCTTCCTCTGTAAGAGAGAGGGGCAAAGTCCTACCGCACAGAACTGGCATGGAGAGGATTCCATAGTCCATTTAAAATGGTTAGCAGCACCTTAACAATACTCCCTCTGTCCACTGTACCCCAGTACCCACTCCTTTTATCATGTGCAGGGCTGTGTGAGAGTTACAGAGCAGAGGAGAATGGTAGATTTTGTGTTCATTTTAATCTCTCTGCCTTCAAAGAGACATCCATGGCTGCTTGCACTCCCACACTCTCCAACAACTTCAGCAACAGGCAAGTGAGCTGCTGCAGCCCTCTTTCTCCCTGAGACTGCACTAGATGCAATTTCATCCTAATAAGGAGATATGGAATTTCTATCTCATGCTAGGAAAATCTACATCTTCTGGACTCACTCTATGTGTATTCATCCACACACAAACACGTACAGTCATTACAAAGAAAGATTTTTATAAAATTTAAGTGTTGAGGTAGCTTTCAAAAGTTATCTAAGTTTGGCTAATCTTCAAAATCACTTGGGAAATTTTTAAAAAGTAGGATCCCCCTGCCCAGAGACTCTGATTCAGTAGCATGCAGCTGGACCTACCTACTCCTCCAGCGGTTCTGCTCCTTACTCACAGGTCCAACACCGGTGCAGCCTCCCCCCTGTCTGGCTACTTCTGCCTGAGTTATCCTTTCAGTACCCACCCCAGGAGGGCAAGGGGCAGGAGAACATGCAGTCAGAGTCTGCCAGCCACCACTACTTACTTTGGGAATTCCCCAAAGCACAGCCTTCTCTTGAAAGACATGACCAAGGACTCAGCCTATAGATACGCAGCAGCCCCAGGGTAACCCTGGACAGAGTTTCTGGGTCTTTGACAACCTGCAGAAGCCACAACAGTGGGAGGTCAAAAGTCCTGGCTCTGCCAGGATTTCAATGAACAGAAACTCTTGCCTTTGAGGTTGTGCAAGGATTAAATGAGGTAATGTGTGGTATGGGCAGACCACAGAACTGGCTTATGAGCACTCCTTAACCCTGTGTGAACAAAAAGAAGCTGCTTTAAAAAGCCCCAGGAGAGGAGAAGAAAAGCCACTGCTCTATGTGCCACAGCCTTTGCTGAGCCCTCCAGGTCTGGGACTTCCCCAAAGCCTCCAAAGCCAGTGCTGGCTTTTCCACGCCTCCTCTCAAGGGATGACTTAAACTGAGACCTTTTTCTCGGTGGTTTTGCCAATATTTTTTTCATTAGAAAAGGTGTTTCACTATGTGACTACAAAGCATGTTTCATTCTGCAACTTGGGAGCATAGGTTAAGTGGATGCCCCGAGTAGCTTTTCAGTGATTCAGCCTTTTCTATTTAATTAGCTTATTGATTAAGCATTTTGTTTCTCTGAGTGGGGCAGTGCCTCTTTCAGCAGGCAGTTTTGCATTTCCGCAGCTGAAGGTGTCCAGAGGCAGGCCATGTCTCTGCAGCTGTCTTGGAGGTCAGCGGGCTGATGTGAGGGTGGCCTGCCACGTGTGTGAGCAACAGGGTACATTGGCAACTGCAGGTTTGCCTTGTGGGAATGAGGGGGGAACACATGATGGGCTCCAGCGGGCTGGGCAGTTACTGGCACAGATGCCTACTGGGAAACACAGAGTAAGCAGAGGCTGAGGAGCAGTCTGGCCTGGCTGGGATGTAAGGGCTGACTGTGTGAGTGGCAGTAGGTAAAGCTAGGAATGTAGGCAGAACTATATCCTGAAGGGCCTAGGGACCCTTGTTAAGCTTAGCTTTTGTCCTTAAATTGATGGAGATTTACTGAATGATAGTTTTTCAAAGCAGAAGTACGATACGGTCCAATTTGCATTTTATAAGATCACCTGCTGTTGGTGCAGCACTTCCAGAGCTTCAGTGTATACAAGAATCCTCAGGGATCTTCCTAACCAATCCTTACTCAGTAGGTCTGGCTGTGACCTGACATTCTCCCTCTGGAGGCCAATGGTGCAGAAGCACTTCCTGTTTTGCGTCCCTGTAGGGACATCAGCAACGCCTGGGTGGGTGGGTAACCCCAGATGCTGGGCCTCACCCCTGCTGCTTGATTGGTAATTGGTTTCCACTGGCTGGAACACCAAGTCCCCCAGGTGACCTTGAAGCAGATGGCCCGAGGACCAGTGGGAACCACTGATGGGGAGGGTGGTGGAAAGTGGGCAAAACTCAAGGGGAGGAGGCTGGCCGGGTGGCAGTTGCAGTGGCCCTGAGGCTGAGGTGACACTATTGGGAACAGAAAAGAGAGGGCAGATTTCAGCACTAGGTGACCTCAGCAGGACTTTGTGACCGGCCAGCGGCAAGGTGAGGAAGAATGGCTGAAGAGGTCTCGGGGCTCTGGGCTGTGTGGCACCGGGAGTGGAGGCCACACCTACTGGGATGAGACAGGAGGAGCCAGCCCAGAGAGGGCCGTGATGCTGGGCTCACGTCAGACATTCCGACTGTGCCCAAGAGGGCCGACCTGCAGAGCGAAGAGTGCAGGCAGGGACAGGAGTGTCTGTGTGCCCCGAGCAGTGTAATTCATCTCTGTGCGCTTTGTTCTCTCTAGCCTTCAGATAGGGGACTCTGCCTTCTCCTCCCCGGGATGGGGCGAGGGCTACACGAATGCATGTAAAGCCTGTTAACCCCACACCATGAAAGCAACATTGTATTGTAGAGCTTACCTTTCTGCCTTTTCCACTACATGCCCACTGTGTGCTGAGAAGTGCATACCAGCAAGGAATCAAGGCTGTTCCTGTCTTCTTACTGTCTTCTCCACTCTCACCCTGGGGGCTTATTTGAGGAAGTTTCTAAAATGCTTGAGATGTTTTACTAACAAAGGTAATGACTCACCTGGACCTCTGTTCATGGTTTCCTCAGGCAGCATGGTTACAATGTCATAGTCATCATTCCTTGGGACACTTTGAAGTGTTTTTTTTGCTTTATGGTCTCTCGGTTTTTGCTCATTAATTTTTGCTTCCCTGTGAAGACTTTTCTTCAATTCCATTTGGGCCTGAAAATGATCAGCTTTAGGTGATTAATGTTTTCCCCAAGCTCCTTTCCAAGCTCCTTTCACCAGGATAGAGCAACAGATCAGCCACTTGGAAAAGTGTAGACTGTCTGTAGACATCTCTAGCCCCTAACCACAAGTTTTCTTTTTGCTGTTAGAAGATATGAGGGGAGGGTTTCTTTATCCACAGGCTTATTAGGAGAAAAGTGAGTGCACACAAATTCTCAAAAAGGCACAGCACACCTAGGACTCGGACAGTTGTAGAAAGATTTCTCTGCAGGCTGACATGCTTGGAATTGTAGAAGACAGTAACCGTGAGCTTATTTTGTGCAGAGAGGCATTCAAATGTGACAGTGGCAGAACATTACTGGAAGAGGAGTTTGTTACAAGAGGTCTGCTGTAGGTTTGTGTGCCTCACAAAATTCACACCTTGGACAATTTCATCTCCAGATTCATGCTGATGGCACTTGGAGGTGCAGCGTTTAAGAGGTGATTAGATCATGAGGGTTCCACCTTTGCTGTAGATTAAGCCCCATATGCTGGGAGTGGGTGAGTCCTCACAGGGGTAGCACAAGTGCGCTCAGTGGCTTAGGTTTGTCCTACTCCTGCTCTGTCACTCTCTTGCCAGGTAATGTCCTCTACCAAGCTAAAACACGGCAAGAAGGCCCTCGCCAGATGCCAGAACCTCAGACTTCCCAGCCTCCAGAAGTGTGAAAAATAGATTTCTTTTCTTGGTTGATTACCCAGACTGGTATTCTGTTTTAGGAGCAGAAAATGGACCAAGACCCGATCTTTCTTATAAGATAACCCTGTGGCATGAATTACAGAGAAAAAGAATAAAGATCAACTCTTCCTCCTACACACTTCCCTTTTACTCAGCCAAGACAAATTAACTACCACATTTTCCTGCTGGAGCCAGAATATCAGAAGAGTAACCTGTTTTTAAAAAGAAGACTTGAAGCATAGATGCATTCTTGAGATGACTACAAACAGAAAAGACTCAAGAGGGCTGTTAGCAGAAGGGATCCATCTCCCTGGTTCTTCCCAGCCACAGTAATTGAATCTTCAGCCCCAGGGACTACATTCGAAATGCCAAGGAAAGACTGGACATGCAGGATGGTCTATTTCATGTGCCAGTGCAATGATTATGTGGTTTCAATTTGATGAATATGACAGTCTTCTCATATTATTTACCTCTTGTCTTTTACGGTTCATTTCCAGCATTTGCATCTTATGTAAATACTGTCTTTTTCCAGAAGTATACATTGGAGTTTGCATTTTCTTTTCCAGTTCCTGCTATGAAAGATGACATAGTCATTAGTATGATTTGTTACTGACTCTGCAGTCCACAACCTTGAAGCCTTCTTGGAACAGAGTGCGATCTTAATCCATCACGATCCACAGTGATCTCTTGTGATGATGAAGGTGGGTAACTGTGTAGTCCTGAGAGTTCTTTGTATCACTACAAATGGCACTTTGCTATTTAGAGCTGCTGTAGATTTCTGCAAACCTTGAATGCAAAGGTTCTACCAGTCTTATTGTGACAATATATCATTTCTCCTGCTAACATGCATATTACGGTTTCCCAAGAAATATGTTCTGGTTTGATGAGCGCTTCCTTTCTCTGCTCACCTCTTCTACCGTTGCCTGGTTGGCTGGCTATGAAATGAAAGGACAGCCACTGAGTGTTTAAGTGGAGCCTATTTCTGTGTAGTGTATTCTTCTATGAGCTCTCTGGAGATTTGCAGCTGGGGAGGGTTTGACATTGGTGTTTTGTGACCCTGGTTATTAGAGTAAACAGAGGTGACTATGCTGTCCCTTTTCGCCTGCTGTTGTAGGAAAGGGATGGAATGGATTAAGAGATGCTCTTGTGCTGCCCCAGAACAGTGCTGTGTGAGCCGTTGTGACCCTCAGGGAGGGGCCCTCTCTGCAGGCACGGTCAATACACAGACATGACCTGGAGCATCTGACGGTACCTGGACAGCTCTTAGCAAGGCAGCCAGCTCACTTCAGAACCAAATGAGCTCCAAGATGAATCGGGAATGGAGAATGTGGGAAGTTCTCCTTCCTCACAGCTCCCATTCCCGCGGGCTTGCGCGCGCGCGCGTGTGTGTGTGTGTGTGTGTGTGTGTGTAGTCAAGGACAACCTGTAGATAAGGTTTCTCCTGCAAACTGAGAATAAAGAGATTTAAACGGTGAAAAACAAGGGTCGTGTGGGATTTCCCACAGATCTGACAACTAGAATCCCCCATTTCCACGCTGACTCCCTCTTTCTCATTTCTATGGCCCCATCTTTACCACAAAACAGGAAGTACTCAGTGCTCATTGGAGAGGAAAGAGGAACTGTCAGCTGCAGGTGGGCACAGGTGAGAACGGTAGCTTTGAAGGTTCTCACTGTGAGGGCCTGAACTGGCTTTTAACTCTTCAGGGCTCCACCTCCACCCCTGCAACTTCCCCCAGCGAGTCACCCCTCCTCACCTTTGCTCTGGGCCTCATCCTGGCTGCTTGCTGGCTTGGGAGCCTTTCAGAGGTCCTTACTTGTGGCAGGTCAATGGGCTGAAGCTTCTGGAAGTCCAACATTTAAACGAGTCAGCATTCCTCATGTCACAGGAGGATGAGACACAAAAGCCAGACATTAAACATCTGAATGTTTGCAGAAGTGGCACTTATTCTGTGAGCGTACGGGGAAGGCAGGCCCAATATTTTCACAGGCACACCTGTTCAAAAGGCTTTTTATCTCACTGGGCTCTTCTGTATGTTTCCACAGTGTGGTGACTCATGAATAGAAATATCAGTCAGAGGGTGAAGAGACTAAGAATTCCTTTCTGTCTGCACCAAGGGACCATGCTCAAAGTTATCAAATAGCCAGTTCTTAGGATATTAGAGCCAAGAGAGGCCCCAGGAAGTCACTTTATTCTGCTCACCCTTTAAGCGTCCAGCTGAGCTATTCCAGTCTGTAGGGAAGAGGCCTGTTTTTAGGATCTCCAGAGGAGCTCACTCAGACCCCAACAATAATCACTGGTGCCTCTGAGACGCGCTTGAGGTGGAAGTTCAGGACGCTAACAAACGTCAGATGTGTCTTTCTAGCATAGCCTCGGCTTTGTGGGAGACTTTGTGCTGGAGTCTCAAGAGTCGCTGAGACTGGGAAGCAATTCACATCCATGGGCTGCCTCAGCCCTCTCACCACGTCTGGCTCCATAGACCAAGCACTGAGAAGTGACTGAGCAGACTCAGGGGAGAAGCCTGGACTCTCCACACAGACCAGCAGTTCATCGGTCACTTGGTGAGTGCTTACTAAAGAACTGCTGTGTGCCAGGCCTGGGGGCACAATGGTCAACAAAAATGGACACAGCTCCTCGTGGAGCTTATAGGAAATAGATACTTTTGCTTGTGTGATTGCTCAACTGACAGTTATTAACAGTGATCAGTGCTCTGAAGAATAAGTCTATAGAGCAGGATTAGGAAAATCCACAAACAGAGGATGCAACCTTGAAGATGAATGAGGGATGTTAGGGTAGAGTTGGGCCCCTTCTTCCCGTTTATGTGTTGAAGTCTTAACCCTTGTACCTCAGAAATAAGGTCATTAAAAAAGAGGTCACACTAATACAGCAGGCCTCTAGGCCACTGTGACATCTTTCCCATAAAATGGTGAAACCTAACACAGGTACACATACAGGTCCAGGGAAGCCACCCAGTGGAGACAAAGGCAGAGCTGAGCGGATGCTTCTTCTTCCTCTTTTTCTTTTTTTTTTTTTCTGCCTAAATTCTTTCATTGGTACATTTTAGGTACACAGTACGTTTACATTTATCATTGGGTGCTTGCACCTGTACATGATGCATCTTGGTTCTTGTTTTTTCCCCATTCCCTGTCTTTCCTTCACCCCCTCCACTCTTCCCTATTTACATAGACTTTATTTCCATTTTTTTTCTTTTCTCACAATTTTTCCTTTCCCCTTCCCCTCCCACTTCCCCTCCCCCTTTGGACCGTTTCTTCCTATTTCAAATTATCAGTTATTCATTTTAATCATTTTAATCCTTATTTACATTTTCAGTTTCTCACACCAGAGAAACTATTTGATATTTACACGTGTGTCCTATTTATTTCACTTAAGCGTATGGCCTCAATATGCATCCACTTAGCTATAAATGTCTCTAGTTTCTCATTCTTTATGGCTGAGTAGTACTCCATTTTATAAAAAAACCACATCTTCTTTATCCAGTCTCCAGTTGATGGGCACTTGGGCTGTTTCCAAGCTTTAGCTATTACAAACTGTGCCACCATAAACATGGGTGCACATATATCACTGTGGTAAGATTCTTTTAATTCTTTTGGGAAGACATCCAGCAGGGGAATAGCTGGGTCAAATGGGACTTCCAGTCCTAGTTCTTTGAGGTATCTCCATACTGACTTCCACAGTGGTTGCACCAGTCTGCACTCCCACCAGCAATGGAGAAGGGTTCCTTTCTCCCTACAGCCCCGCCAGCATTTGTTATTGGTTGATTTTATGATAGCAGCCATTCTTTCTGGGGTGAGGTGGAGTCTCAGTGCTGTTTTCATCTGCATCTGAGCTGATGCTTCTATAAGCCAAGGAATGTCACAGTTCCCTAGAGATGGAACAGATGCTCTCTCATAGCTTCAGAAGGAACCAGCCTATAGATCTAGGGTGTCTGATACTGTGATTAGACATATGTGATAACTGATTGGCTTAGCATATTTCTGGGTGTGGATAATGGAAGCCTCAACCCTGGGTGTGGGTGGTACCATCAATAGACTTGTAGTTTGGATGGAATAGAAAGGGACAGACAGAAGGTAGCCTTGCTGCTTCCTGCTTCCTGCCTTCTACCTGCATGCCGTGGACCATTTCTCCTCTGCCATTCCCCTCTGCTAAGCAACCCTGCCTTGGAGCCTGTGACTGACTGTGGACTGAAGCCTCCATGAACTGTGAGCTATAACAAACCTTTCCTCCTTTAACTTTGGGTGTCAGGTATTTGGTCTCAGCCATGAGAAAAGTAAGACAGGAGTTCTTAAGGGACTAGGTTCTTAGGGGACTACTAGGCAGAGTTAACAAGTGCCATGGCTCTGAGATGGAGGAGAGTGTGGTCTACTGGAGGAACTGAAAGAGGTCAGCTGGCTATGCTTTTTCAAGAGAAAATACAGCTCAAGACAAGGTTGGGTGTGGCCAGGTGTGCAGGGCTCACAGCCATTCTAAAGATGCGGGCTGGTCTCCTTAAGAGCAACAGGAAGCCACTGGTGTGATATGTATTAAGCAAAGTAGTGACATGATTGCCTATGCTTTTAACGATGATCACTCTGGTGCAGTGTGGAAACAAGATTAGAGAAGAGCAGCTATGTATGTGGGGAGAGCAGTTAGGACAAAGATGACAGAGGAAAATGGACAGACACCACGGATACTTAAATTTGGGAAAAGAAGATGTGTTATGGTTGGAGAGTCAACGTGAAGTTTCCAAATGACACCCCGATACAAAGGGTGTGCAGTGCTCCTGATCAAGATAGGGAGTTCTAGGAGAGTGGGATAGAGAAGAAAGGCACATCTTGATTTGGACAGGCTGAGGTGGAGACATGTTTGAGACAGGCTGGGGTAGATGCTGAGCAGGGAATCCCTTATGTAGGCATGGAGCACAAACCTAACTTAGCAAAGGCGCAATGAGAAGTGACCGATACTAGTCAGGAAAATTCCTTCTCTTTGCTGTCAATTTCCAGGACATGAAGATGCAAAGCAAATGGGACTCAGGAGGCAGCAACTGACCAAGACAATGCCACATGGAAAGGAGAAGAGGAGGAAATAGAAGGAAGACCAAGGGAGAGGGGGGCCCCCGGCATCCATGGAGGAAGAATCAGCAATGGCTGCAGGGGGTTTCTTGAGGAAGGGAGAATGGGGAAGTGCCCTTGCCGCCCTGGGCATTGGGAGTATTCAGGGTTGGGTCTTTCTGATTAGGCCTGTGTGACTTTGAAGCCACTGGTGTGCACCATGCCCAGATATAAGCCTGTCATCCCTCCATCCTCCGGTGAGCCCTGTGTGTGATTAGGAGGGTCTTTGTTCCCCAGAAGCCAATGAGGGGTCCAAGTTTCCTAGCTAAAAGGTGACATCTCCAAAATTCAAAGGCAAGTGTGTCCAGTTCCAATCCCTGTGCTCCTTCCTCCACTATTTGTTCCCCAAAATGAGTTTACTGTCAGGATCTTCTGGAATTGAAAAAAGAAATTTCTGGGAGGTTGATATCCAACAGTCCCGAGAGTAGATAGTTTTCAAAACCCTGCCGGGGATTCTGGTGGTTCCTTTTCAGATTGGGACCATTGACCTCCACACATCCTTGACTGAACATGAGAGACCACAGAGGTTCTACTGGTAGATTATGTTTGAAGAATTGAGTCTAAAAAGCCAGATTTTCTTATTTAAAACAATCTAAGTATAAATTATGAGGGCCAGGTTTTTGCTTTAATGATATAAAAATATGAGCACTCACAAAGACCCTTTCTTCTACCTTCAATCTTTTTATTTAAATTCACAGTTCTGATAAGAGTTAAGTGACAGGGATCTCCAAGAACTCTCTCCAGGCAGTTACTTTCAGTCACATTATTCCTGCACAAAAGCCACTAGATGGCAGCAACTGACATGGCAATTAGGTTCTCGAATTGAACTTGGCTGGAGAAGCATTGCAGGAAAAATTGTTAAGAAAATTGGTTTCAGCTATATAAACCAGTCAAATGGCATTGCCTCAGAATTCTGGGCTCATATGCAAATTCCTTTGCCTGCCTGGGAACTAAGATGCCTCCATTCATCACCCTCAGAGAGAATACAGTGGAAGGACACTAGAAAATTGCTAAAATTAAGAAATGTATTATTTGTCTAAAAACTTGGATTAACTGTATTTGGCTTTTCAAATAAAATGAATGGTAAGCAGAACCAGTTGGAATGACTTCTAGGAGCCTGAGGAATCAAGATCAAGCCACCCCCAGACCACAGTCACTGAAATTGGTGACAGACACTAACCTGAAATAGTTGCTTCTATTAATGGGCAAGAAGAGGAAGATGAGCTCAAAGAAATGTCAAATGTGGCTGCACCAGGACTTTCAAATGTGTTTTCTTATGGTTCTGGGGAGCAGAGAAAGGTGTGTCCAGGACAGCTTTAAACTGAGAAATCATAAGGCCAAGGAGGAATTTCTGATCTAGGCATTGCAATGAGTTCACATTTCAGAGACATTCTTTGCTGCAAACAGATAGCAATGAAAAAGCAAAGCATAAAATAAAAAAAATATGTGGCTTGGTTTCAATACAAAATGAACATCTCTCTAGATTACAAAACACAGAAAAGCAAATATTTGAGGAAAGCTGATTTCTAAGGCACTTAAGACTCATTATCGCTGTGAGTTATTGCTGTTGGTTAGGAGGGATCTAAAAATGCTCCATAGAAGATGGGTCACCGGAACCAGGCTCACAGTTGGAAATCAGAGGCTGTTCTCAAGCACTCTACCCAGTAAGACAGAGGGGCAAGGCGGGGTCTGTAGTCAGTGACTGAGCACACACTTAGTACGTGTGGGTCTGGGTTCAGCCCTTGTCACTGGAAAAAAATTGGAGGATGAGCACATGTAAGTTGGAAGGTTTGTTTTACAAGCATTATCAAAAAGTTGAATATGAAGCTCAGACTTTATAACAGTTAGTCTGAAAGCTTAGCTAAATCAGTAATTTCCTGGAAACATAAACTAGCATGAAGAATAAGACACCCATATTAAGAACCATAAAAGAAATCAAGTTAGTAGGAAAATTTCTCATTCTCCTTAAAAGTCCAGGTGGCCAAAAAGGGTTGAAAGGCCTATTTTACCAAACGAGATGAACAGATGTTAGAATCTGTGTTGTAATCAATGTTTCAGAGAATAGAAAAGAAGGAAAGCCGATCAACTCATTTCACAAGACTAATTCAATCTTGATGGTAAAGCTGGGGAAAAAAACAGAAGAATATCATTGATCCACTTCACTTATTAAAATATATACACAAACCCTGAGAAAATCCAATTCAGCAATCTATTTATATACTTATCTCATGATCAAGCAGGATTTATGCCAGAAATGCACACATAATTCAACATATACAATCTACAATGCATCGACTGGTTAAAAAGACAATCTATATGATTATTTTAATAGATGGGGAAAATGGATAAAATTTAACACCCAGCCTGGAGAAAAACTCTCAGCACTGAAGAATAAAGGTAATGTCCATAATTTAAAGCAATGACGCTGTGCCAGGATCTTCTGTTTGTTTTTCCAGAGCCATCTGCCACGCTTCTGTGTCCTGTTCTCTGCCTATGAGGGCTGAGCAGTTTCTCTACCTCCAAGGAGGCAGGAGGACAGGGAGAGCCCTGGCTCAGTCTCTGTAGGGTCACATGGAGGACTGGATCCCTCTGTGGAAGTCTATTGCTACCCTCAGAGCAGCTTCCACTGCCTATCCTCCTTTCTAGATCCCTTGGCCCAGAAGTGGTCACTCCTTGGCTGGCACTTGTGGCTATTGCAGTAACTTTTGCAGTTTCCTGAATTCAAACCTCTGTACATAGATTCTTGTAAAGAAAATTTTCTTGAATTATTATAATTTGAATGTGCTATGTATTTCCTTTGGGGACTTTGACTGGTACAAATACCTGTCCAAATCCTGTTGTAAATATTATTCAGGTTGAGTATCTCATATCTGAAATGCTTGGGGCCAGAAGTGTTTAAGATTTTGGATACTTTCTTTTAAATTTTGAAAGATCTGCATATACATAATGAGGTGTCTTGGGGTTGTACCCAAGTCTAAACACAAAATTTGTTTTATGTGCTTCCTGTGCACATAGCCTGAAGGAAACTTTACACAATATTTTTAGTGCACCTGAATTTTGGCTGCAATCTGTCACATGAGGTCAGATGTGGAATTTTCCTCTTGTGATGTGATGTTGGTGTTTAAAAAGTTTCAGGTTTTGGAGCATTGTTGGATTTCAGATTTTTGGATTAGGGGTGTTCCACCTCAGAGCTGGTCCCATTAATGCCACAGATAAGACATAGATGCCTGTTATTCAATATTTCAAAGAAAGTTCTAGCAAAAAAAAAATCACAAAAACAAATACAAAGAATAAGAATTAGGAATAAAGAGACAAAATTATTCTCATTTATAAATAATACCATATACAGGAAAGTCTAGAAGAATCTATTGACAATTAGAATTGCCAGCGCGTGGCGGAAGAGGCACTGCTGGGCTCGCACACCGCCCTAGGCCTGCCCTGGTGGGGCAGCATCATGCTCTCTGCTGCTGGCCTGCACGGCGCTGTCACCCTGCCTCTGGCCACCTAGCAGCATCGCGTCCTAGCCAAGATGAGCGGGCACGGGCCCCTGCCCAGCCTCAGCGGGGACTCGGCGGCCTCGGGTGGAGCAACCTGTGTCCTGTTACCATCTCAGGCAGTTCCCAGCCAGTGTCTCCCTGAGCTAGTGGAAAATTTGCAACCAAAAATGAAAAACAGTGCCAAGGGTCTTAACTAAGAAGTTGCAGTTTGTTTTCATCAGTTGGGGTGGTACAAAAGAGTTACCAGGTTTACTTATCTAAAGAATATGAGAAGGCTTGTTTCAGAGCTGTATGTTCGGGATAGCTGTCACCCTTTCAAAGCCACTGTGTCGATCTGGACTCAACTTCCGGTGTGGATCTTCATGTCTGTTGCCCTCCGGAATTTGAGTGTAGGGGCCACACGTTCAGAAGATTTTTGCTCCACAAAGACATGGAATGTACCGTTTTCAGATGTGCCTCACGTACTTCGGCCGTGCTGTGCCAGTACTGACGATTCCAGCTGCGGCAGCGGCACCTTCATCGATGGCTCTGCGCTGGCTGTGCTCCAGCCTCGGGGGCCTTGCCTAGAACTTGCTGCCACGATTCTCCACCGTTTCACCAACTTGGCCCAACACCGTCGACCTAGTCAGATTCACATGCTCCTTATAAGGACCTCTTTGCTGTCTTTCATGACACGTTCATAGGGAGGAAATCACGTATTTTCCGGGAGCTTTGAAACAATAGCAGATGTGTCTCTAGCACCTTTATGTATTTAGATTTCGAAATTCAGATATTGTTTAATTTGCTTTATTTAAAAGTCACAAACTCTGAAGACTATGGGTTATAATGTAAGCCTGATATATTTGAATGTTAAAATCTTTTAAGTGCTAGAAATGTAGTATGTCTAATTGTAAAAGAATATAACAAAGGAACCAAAGTGTTGTCCCTGTTTAGAAAATTACAGCTTGTTAGAGTTGCCAGAACTTTGGAGAATGAGATCAGAAACTGATGTCACATTGTACTAAAAAGTCTAACTCATTAAAGTTTTGTAAAAGAAAAAACAAAACAAAATAAAACAAAAAAGAATTGCCAAGGCATGTCAACAAAGTTACGGAACACAAAATCTAATATACAGAAATCAGTAACTTTGTATCACCAATAAAAATCATTTAGAAAGTTCAATGGGAAATGCACCTCATGCATAATAGGGAGGAGAACCCCTGTAAGGTATTTGTGGGTCAGTTTGATATGCCAACTTGGCTAGGCTACGGTCTCCCGTAATAGTGTACAGGCAACCAGCCTAGATTAAAAACCAAAGTCAATTAAATTTAAATAAACTGTTTTGATGTGTTAAATAGAAATTGGTGTGCTTGGAAAAAGATAAGACAGAGAAGGGTCAAGGAAACCAGGAGGCCTGGGATGAGGAGTACAATCATCTAGACAGGCCTTATACGGATGATGAAATTTGAACATATCTTTACAGATGAGGGATTATCCAAGCAGATCGCCTGGGGATACACTATGTGTCTGGGGAACCTTCCCACGTAGGCTGGATCTGAGATGTTAGATGAGAAAAGGATCATGCCAGATGGGGCATTGCTGACCAATTGCTCAGTGTGGGCCCAGGAACATTTGATTTGGGTTCCCTGGCAAAGGAACTCAGATCTCAGCTTCAGGTTAAGGAACCTAAGTTCATGACCTGATCCATACTGAGAAGTAGATGTTCAGGAAGTGGCAAGTGCCAAATATGCAACTCAAATTGTTTAGGGTGCAATTAGATTTGGTTTAATAATTAAAAATACTTCCAGAATTTTCTTTGGCAGAGATCAGGCTATTAATTAGCATGTCATGGGAACCCAGAGTTTATTATTCTCTCAAAACCCATTTGTGGGGGAAAATGTGCTGAGCTTCATTTGTGAAGATAATTATAGTTGATGTCTTTGGGAGTGTCTGCCAAGTTCCTGGTGATTTCCTCTTCTGTGAGAGCTGACTCCAGAATCTTCAGGGTGACTCCTCCACCCACATTTTCCTGCACAGGCATGTTTTCTGGTCATAGTTCATTGGATCAGATCTGGAATCATGAACAAAGCTGAGCCAATAAGATCTTGTCTCCCAAGAACCTGGAGCTGGAGCAAACCGGGTCAGGCCCATCTGTCCATTTGCCTAGGAGTATGAGATGCACTGAATACTGGAGCGTCTACCTTTGTAAAGCAATACTACCGAACATAAAAGACAAAATAAGTACTACCACAATCATAGTGGGGGGTCTCAACACACCATCTTCACAGAGAGATAGATCAACTAAACAAACAAAACCAATAAATTTCAGAGCTGAACCACATTCTTGAACGTATGGACTTAATAGATATCTACGAAGTGTTCTACCCCAGTACAACAGAGTATACATTCTCTTCTGCAACACATGGTATTTCTCCAAAACATATCACATACTAATCCACAAAGCCTGCTTAAGTAAATACAAAAGAATTAAAATCACCCCATGTATGCTATCAGATCACTGTGCAATGAAAATAGAAATCAACCGCAGAAGAAATCATAGAAAATTTAGAAGCACCTGGAAAATTAATAACATACTCCTAAACAGCTGATGGGTCACAAAAGAAATCAAGGAAGAAATTTAAAGAATTTCTGACAATAATAACAATGTCTGTGCAACTCACTAGAACCTCTGGGACACTATGACAGCAGTCCTAAGAGGGAAGCTCAGTGCAATCAATGCTTTCAATAGAAAAATAAAGCAAGCTCAAATAAATAACTTCATCAGGAACATCAAGATACTCAGGAAACAACAACAATGCAGCCCCAAACCAAAATTAAGGAGGGAAATCATATATGAATGATAAAGGATGACTAGAAGGAAACAAGAGTTCAGTACCCTCTTGCATATGGGAAGCAGTCCAGGAGACCAAGGGCAAGGGAAGAGGAGAGGGGAAGGGAATGTAAGTAGAGTTAATATATGCCAAGCACAGGAGCCTAATAACCTCAATGAATGTAAACATTGCATGTCATAGGTATGAACTAAGAATAATAATATCAAGAAGAATGAAAATGAGGACCTTTCATTTAGAGGCAAAAGGAGGGACATGGGTAGGAAGGGGAAGGAGATTTAAAAAAGGAAGCCATATATTACGTCCATGTACCCAGTCCCCAAGATAAATGTAAACATTACGCACAGCAAACATGTAATAATAAAAGGAAAGAAAAAAGGTTCAAGGTCAATGTGACCATATTTCATCAAGCAGACTGAGGAGCAGAGAAAGCTGGTTTTCAGGGAGATGAAAGCAAATGCCCAGGTAAGAGCTTTGGGGAGTCACTTAGCAAGCTCTACTGTTCAGGTTCCACTGCACAATTTTTCCCTGAGTCCTGGTGTCTCCTGGCTCTTGAGTTCAATGAAAGCTTCCTACACCCATATAATTAATGAATCAATTGGTTTGGCTCATTCACTGGACTTGCAATAGGGGAGCAATGGGTCTGCAATAGCAGGAAGTGCACTGGGAGTATGTCTCCCCCGTAGAGACAAGAGTCTCCGTGTCCTTCATTCATCTGTTCACTCATTCACTCTCAAATTTTTGTGTAGTGTATATTGTTAGTGGTTGAAGATTAAATAAAACATAGTCTTTGGACTCCAATAATTTACTTGTCTTGATTCTTCATTTTTAAGGTGGTGGGTTGTAGGGTCAGGGTTAGACTCTAAAATGTCAAAATTCTCTTTTTGAGTTTGGTGGGTTCTGGGAGGACTCAAAACCTAATGCTAGCTTATTTAGGGTTGATAGATACTAAAGTAATTTGTGAACTAGAGTACTACCCAAATACTTTTCATGAGTTGTACGTAGTCGAACGTAGTTTGAGTTAATCGGCTGAGAGCCTTGGCAGAGATGTGTATTAAATATACTCTTTAGAAAGGAAGCACTTGATTTAGGAATAAAAGTAGTCTTAGAGCTGTTTAGTTTAGCCAGAGATATGCTCAACAAATTTCAAATTACATATAAATTTATTATATTTATACTTTATTCTTTGAACTAAACAATTGTTTTGGGGTTTCTAATATTTTGGGAAAAGTTGCTCTTTTGAAACTGAAGGATAAAATCACTTCAAGCAATAATTTTGGGTTTTTTGAGAAGACAAGTAAACAAAATCCAGCTGAAACAGAAATAATTCTCAACAAATGAGTTCCAGTGTCCCTGGGAGTGGCCTAGGCATTTGGATGACTGTGTGTCCGCGTGGAGGGGGGACTTAGCTGAAATTTCCTATTTCAAATGTCAGTGATAGATCCTGCTTGCAAGAGAGCCCCAAACCATCCTTTCAGTGGATATTGATTTTTCAGGGACCCACTATGACCTTTTCCTTTCTAGGGTGAGAGACTTAGAATTTATAGCTCTCTAAAGGGAATCCATTCAATGTTCACCGAGGTGATGCATTGAAAGCTCTTGTTTTGTTGTCCTGGAGTCCAATGTTCCTAATTTCAACAACAGTTTAACACCTAGGATGACAAAAGATTAGAGGCAGAAAATGTGTAGAGGTCACTTATGCTGATGACTTTAAACCGTACATGGTGGGGGGGCATGCCTGTCATCCCAGCACTTAGGAGGCCGCGGCCATGAGTTCAAGGCCAGCCCAGGCTAGCCAGCCTGAATTACATAGCAATAAAATAAAATAAAATAAAATAAACGTAAACTTTGAAGACCTTGTTGATCTTTAGCTTCTGTGTGGCTTTGGAAAGTTACTTCATTCCCTGAATGACATGTCTAAAACAAAGGCAAGATTTTTTTCTCAAAAGGAACTAAGAGGATTAAATAAATGACATAAATCAAGTTACCTAGTGATTTTCCCACAGTCACCTAACTAACCAGTGGTGGATTCAGGTCCCTTGGGCACCCCACACCTCTAGCCTTATTACTATACTTGCTACTTTTTGTGGATTTTAAAAGTGAAATAATTACTAAAGGAAATCCTCAGTATTGTGGTCTTCACAAATGGCAACTCTCTCTTTCACAACATTCTCGATAATAGCTTATCCAATATTCCTCTTTTATGACTGCAGTTAAAAAGGGATGTTACCATTAAATCCAAAAAATTCCTTATGAAGTTTTTAAAATTCATCTTACTTGAAGTCTTTGTGGTGGATGCCTTTTAATAATACTTGTTTCTCCAGGTTCCAGTGGGATGTCAAAATACATGTCCCTGGGTGCTAGAAGGATAGGAGGAGAAACAAGAATAAATCATTAAAAATAATTTATCATTAAATTAGGCAATTAGGCTGATCACTAGCTGATCATTAGACTTTGTTAACCCAATTCTGTGCCTTTTTGATTATATATGTCTACCCTATTGATTGAATGTGGAGATGAGATCCAAAAGTAGGGTCCCTACATGATGCAAATGTTAGTCTAATTTCTGCTTTCCTCTTTTCCTGCTCAGTTATTATTTAGAAGAAGATAGGCCAAATTAACAATGCATTCACTACAAATGTTATCCAAACATAGAAGTTGGCCTGGGGAATAGAAACTTAATGATTTATATTAATTCCATGGAATCTCCTCCCCCAAAATATAGGAAATGAGGAAAAATAGTTTTCTTTTTTTTTGCACTGAGGATCTAACTCTGGACCTTGGGCTTTCAAGGCAGGTGCCAGAACCACTGCGCTAAATCCCCGGCCAGGAAAAATAGTTTTAAGAAGTAAAAACAAACTATATCTTTTCAGAGGAAAGAGAAAATAGGTGGATACATGACTAGATGGAGAGAAATGTGATACAGATATGGAGCCTGAGTACAAAGTAGGAACACACAACGCTTAGCATCGTATGATGACAATGAAATAATCCCCCTAACTAGGGGAATTCCCCCAAGTTACCACTATAATACAACATGGAAGGTATTATAGTGATAGATGAGGAATATGTGAATAAATACTTATTACAATAAAAGACACATTTCCATTCATCCTCTTTGAAATACTCTCCCTTGCGTCAAACACACTTATGCCATTGTTCTTGCCACTTTCTGAAGCAGATCTGTAAGTTCTCCTTTGTGAGTGCCTTTATGAGATGTAATAAAAAAAATATTGTGAGTGCTGACTCCCAGGGCCATCCAACAGAAAGGCAGACTCATAAAAACATGGTGTGTCCTCATCCACCATGTATATCGGATCTGCGACCATGAGACTTCTGGCTCTTCCCCAAAGTTAGAATGACCACAAAAGATAAATGTTGCGAGTGGATTCGGAACATCAAGGCAGCCACAGTAGTGCAACTAAAGACACTCAGAAAAGAGGACTTCCAGAGCTGCTTCAGGAAGTGTCAAGAATGATGCGATCAGTGCATTTGAAGTGAGAGGGAGGATTTTGAGGGGGGTTAATGGCAATGTGTTTTTTACTGTAACAATATTTTTGACTTAAACATTCACTGTAGTTTTTGATCACATCTGGTATCAGTATTTCCTGATAAAGGAAGCCAGTCCCTGATAGGAAACAAGGAGACACAACAGATCCATTGTGAACTTTGTGTTAGCTCAATTGTCCTGGGTTCATGGAAGTTTTACTATGACCAAACTGCTCAGATGAAGTCCCAGTGCTTCCCTTTTAGAGATCCGGGTGCACCTTGATTTCTAGATTGTTCTCTGGACTCTCCTACATTCCCATTTTGCATTTTAAATGGGAAAATTCCTGTGTAACTGTGAGCCTCTGTCTTGAGACATTAAATGACCACTTTAAGGGCTTTGTGCTCTCTAACTTTTAGGGGGATAGAAACTGTCCTCTTGTCCATCAAATGATGCCACCACATTGAGTAGGATGGAAACAACAAAATATTGGGTTTAACAATGTAAAAATTTTGGCAAAGTTTTCCAGAGGAAGTCTGACTGCTTTTTTTTTCTTTTTTTTTTTTGAGACAGGGTCTCACTATGTAGTTCAGGCTGCCTCTAAACTCACTATGTAGTCCAGGCTGGGCTTGAACTCACTGCAATCCTGCTGCCTCAGCCTCCCAAGTACTGGGATTACAGGCATGCGCCTGGCTGCTTCTTATTTTTACATTATGATGTGAGTGACATCATCCAATTATTCAGTTATGTTCTCCCAAGACAGCACCGGCTTTGTCGGACAGTTGTTTTCATCTCTACTTTTAGGTGAAGAAAATTGACAAAGCATGTTGCCCAGGGTGATGTGATTTGTAATCTGGTGGACCTGGGGTTAAGTACCTTAAAAGTAGTATTCCGAATGTTAGGGAAAACGAACGTAGGTGAGTGAGATCCATGGGACAGAACAGGTTTTGATTTGGGGTTAATACCTGAGAGTGACCACACTGGCAAGCACACCAGAGTGGCCCCTCTTACAGGCTGATGGGGTTTCTAGGGGCTTTGTAGGAGGGGTGGTGGCTACCTGGATCAGGATTGCTGTGTAACTTGTGGCTGCCAGGCTGCTGTGCCCACTGAGCTTCTCTGCTAGGGTTCCTGTCTCCGAGGCTGTAACTTGAGGCCAGCCAGTGGGGGTGGCAGTGCTGCCTTCCTCATCTTTGCCTCTTAATGAGAGCCACAAATCTTGTGGGTTAAACTAGTCGGGACCTAGCTACACTGGCAGCTGTCTAATTCCACCACAGAATGCTTACCATTCCCTTATTACTTATGAGTGTGATTCTGACTTTTCAAAAATAATTTTCCACATGGGATTCGAAAGCACTAAAAACAGCTCTCACCATCCAGTCACCAAAATCTTAAAACTCTGGATAGGGATTTGGATAAAAAAAGATCCAGTGAGGGCCAGGGATTTAACTCAGTGATTCCGCCGCCTGACCCAAAAAAGGATCCAGCAAAACAAAAAGGAAAATTTCCACTCAGGTGTTTAAGTAGCTAGCAAACATAAAAAAATGGGCTGCAGAGTTGACAATTCTACAGAAAATAGCCATGAGGATCATTCTGGGCAAGATCACCAAAAGAGGATGCAGGGCCTTAGGACCAAGTCATCCGACAAAGAGGACTTATTTGTGCTCTTGTTCCAGAATCTGCAAACAGGATACAATTATACGTATGCATTATATACATGCATTTCTCTTCCCTAGCTGAAATGCCTGCTTAATTATCACTGTGATCATTATAAAACATTTTAAATATCTTATAAAATATTCTAGGATGATTTATTCCTCAATTTTTTTTTTTGTACCGGGGATCGAACTCGGGTCCTTGCTCTTGCACAGCAGGTGGTGAAACCACTGAGCTAAATCCCCCGCCTCTAGGATGATTTATAACCACTTCATCTAAGAGGTCCCAATCAGAATGGGAAAAAATTCTTAGTCCTCCAGGTGAAGGGGAGGGGTGACTCATCCACTCATCTGTACTGCAAAAAATCAATTCTATTTGGGGTGGTTTAAAAAAATCATCTTAAAGTGCTGCTTTCAAAGCCACAAAGCCTCATGCATTGAACTGTACTGGAGATAACAATTTAAATAAAGAATCTAGCAGAAACATGATTGCTATCATTTTTTACATCAGTATTTATATAATTTTAGTAGTCTGGTAAAACTAGGTATAAACATTGGCAACACTATAGTCTAAACTGCAACAAAGTGATTTTTCCTTCTCATTTCGAATGGTGAAAACAGTTCATACACTCATTGTAATATACCAGAATACTTTCAACTGGCAGGCATTCAACCCCCCCGAAAGCAATTCCCTTACATCTCAATAGATTAGAGACATTCTGGGCTTATGGAGACAGGTAAATCTAGTAGCTCTCCTTGGTCAAGGTACACATGTGTCATGCTGGGTTTTATGCTTACCTGCCGAATACCTTCCATACCAGTTTTCTCGAAGAGGAGGTAGCTGCCCTTCCAAAGCCCTATTCTGGTCCTGCAGTCTTGTGAATAAATACAAATTATTTTCTTCCAGGTTCTGATGAACTGCAAAGTTCAGAGGGCCAGCCGAGGGAGTCTCTGCTTCTTTGCTTTGGAAAGGTGCCACTTTAGTCACCCCAGGGTGAGCCTTGGCGTAGCTCAGACCCATGTCCTGGGAAGGATGTCCAAAGGAAAACTATGATGGAGGCAGTTCTGGGGCCTTTCATGCAGCTTGTTTTAATTAAGGAATTCCAGAAGTTACCCCAGCTTTGCAAAGATGTCCCTGCCTTCATGACATCTTTCTGGCTCTTTCACCACACACTAACTAGTCTGGCTACTTCCTGGGAGGCCAGTTTCCCTGGAGACTTCCCTTCGAACTCCTACTTTGCCATTCCAGACCCAAAGAATTCAGTTAAACATTGACTTGGTTACAATACTTTCTGAAAAACTCAGCAGTAGGAACAGAAACCACTACCGATCATTAAACAAATACCTAACTCAGGGAAGGCTGTTAACAGAAATGTAGACCAGAGGTTTAGGGAAGTCTTAAATTTGACCCTTTCATGGCAGATACCTTTGTAAGAATGAAAAGCTGAGCACACCAAAGCCATGTTTGGAAACAGGGGATGCATGCTAATTATGGAGGCCCTAAGTAATCTTTAACTTTAAGGAGGGAATAGGTCCTCCAAACAGAAGCGGAAATGGTGGAGTTGCTGAAGCTGTGTTTCATTTTTTTGTCTGGGACTTGAATTGGCCTTGCAGGGCACGAATACCCTGCAGGAGGTGGGAGGCAAGAGGATTTTTTTTTTTTTCCCTTGGAGATGAAGGAATACACTTGAATAGTCCAAATATAAATTGTCTTCAAGGATAGCCAATAGACTATGTCTTTAAAAAGTAGGGGGGAAAAAAGATGGGAAGGATATGGGCCAAAATGTTGAGCAGTGATTTTTGACTCATGGGATTATGGGTGATTTTTGTTTTATTCTTTATACTTAGAAACAGGACTTGGTATGAAGTTCTAATTATTCATGACCATAGATTGCATGTGTTCATCATAACTCCATAGAGAAATTTAAAAATGAATATTTCTTAGCCTCGTGTGGTGGCACACACCTGTGATCCTAGCACTCTGGGAGGCTGAGGCATGAGGACAGAAAGTTCACCCCAGCCTGGGCAATTTAATGACTCAGTGAGATTTGTGTAAAAAAAAATAATAATAAAAATGGCTGGAGACTCAGCTTAGTGTGAAGGCACTGGATTCAATCCCTACTACTGAATTTTTTTTTTTCTCATTTTGGCAAAATATTTATTAAGGGCTAAAATGATGTCTGGAAAGTCTTGAAAGCCAGTGAGAAGGATTTGGCTAGGATTTTTTGCTTTATTATTTAATTTTGAGAGGCTGTATCATTGAGGAATCTGGTTAGTTGAGGGGACTGATTGAAGACATGAAAATGCATGAAAATGAAAATGTTTATTTCTTTTCATTTCTAGCCACTTCCAAGCTGTGTGCCATCCTCAGCTTATTCAGTTTATGGATCTGTATAATGGGCTTAATAATAATAATACTTCGCAAAGAATGAATCGTTCGGTTCAGTTTCCAGCTATTTGAGTAACACTGCTGTGCAGGAACTCCAGTCAGCCTTACCTGGGGTTCTGTTCTTCCTGGAAGCAGTGCTGCATGGCTACCTGTTCGTAAGATAGTCCTTGTCAGAATCCACTAAAATAGACATATTCCTGTCTAAAAGAGTTTCCATCTAGGTACAGAAAAGACCCAGGAGCATCAAGGAAGATAAGTTAATTGAGTCTATTTAACTGAAACAAACAACAGTGCTTAAGAAATACCTTTTAAAAAATCATATGTTGAAAGGATTTTATTAAAATCTTGGTGAAATTTTAAACTTTTATTAAGTGAAAAATGAGAATTTAATCTTACGTATAGTTACATTATAAAATATAATTTCTTAACCACTAAAATTGGAACATATTAAACAGCTCTCCACTACCAAAACCTTAGCACTTCCCAAATTATCCATGATACTTTATCCATAAACTCCCCAGTCCAAATGTCTATGACTATATATTAGTGCACGTGAAGCTGATAAAGTATGGTGTCATCTGTAATGGAATTCATGAGTATGAAATGAAAATATACATTTATAAATCTCCTTACATGAAGCTCATAAAAGATGAACTAAATTTTTCTAACTGTAAAGATAGTATCCAGAGTGAAATTTATTATGACAAAAGGCAAAGTAAAGAGAAGGTGGTGGGACCCCAGAGATGAGCAGGAGCAGGAGCAAATCCCTCCCTCTTTCTTGCCTCCCTCCTCCCTCCCTTCTTTCTTCTTTCCTTCCTACCACACTGGAGATTGAACCCACGACCTGCACAGTGAATTACATCTCCAGCTTTTTAAAAAATTTGAGACAGGGTCTCCCTAAGTTGCCTAGGCTGGGGTTGAACTTGCAATCCTTCTGCCTCAGCCTCCTGAGTAGCTAGGATTACTGTCAGGCTTCATTATGCCACCTAGGGCCACCATTTCTGCACTTGCAGAATCAAAACTCCCAACCTGTGGCATCTCCACAAGAAGTGTAGATGGCCTTGCACCAGCTGGTGCCTTTTTTGCCAGGTGAAGGAAGTGCTCTCCTTCAGAACAGAATGAGCCCAGCTTTAGGGAAAAGCTGCAAAAGCCACATTGTGCAGCTGGAGCTCTCGGCCTTGTTTTGGACATGTTGGCAGGATATAATGCCTACGTTCCTCGTGTGCATACATACACAGCACACTCTAACTTGTTTTTACATCCCCTTCCCTTCTCTCCCTCCCTCCAAACTAGCCCTAGGGCAAAACCTGTTAAGCAATCTCCTTTAGTGGATTTAAATTCTATAGAAACTCAATACAAACTCGTAATGAGGTGTGGATTTTCCTGCTCTCTAATAAGAGCAAGTTTTATATTGGAATGACAAAAGATAAGATCAAGGCTTTTAAGTATAAGTTTGGTATCAGAGAGAGAGGGGAAGGAGAGGGAGAGAGAGGTAGGAGAGGGAGAGAGAGAGGAGGGGGGAGGGAGAGAGAGAGGGAGAGAGGGAGAGAGGGAGAGAGGGAGAGAGAGAGAGGGAGAGAGAGAAGAGAGAGAGGGAGGGAGAGAAGAGAGAGAAGGAGGGAGAGAGAGAGAGGGAGAGAGACAGAGAGAGGGAGGGAGAGAGAGAGGGAGAGGGAGAGATTTCAATCCATCTGTGGCTGGATGGCTGGATAGTGTAGCCAGAGACAGCAAGAGGAGAGGGGCTTTCCTAGTGTCTGCTGGAGAGACACTACGGGCCTCTGTCACAAGGCTGTGACCTGCCAGCATCTGCCACACTCTCCCGGCGGCCCCACAGCATGGCAAGGACGCTGCTGGAGGTAAGGAATACATATGTGGAGAGTGAGGAAAGAAAGATTAATTTGCAGGTAGCTCACCAGCTACTATGTGAATCAAAGAGAAAACACTTGCTCGGTAGCAGTAAATTCTAAGCAGCGACATATAGAAACCCACTCCGCTGCTCAGTGGCAAGATAAACAACCTAATATTGGACACATGAGATTCACTTACTTTCTTTCTTGGCTAATCATATGTGGATGTTTTCTACAGTTACCTCTCAGTACCTGCAGGGCATTATTTCCTGGACCAACCCTGTGGATGCTCAAGTCCCTCATATAAAATGGCACAGAATTTGCATATAATCTAATGTATGTACTTTAAATCAAGAGTCCCCCACCTGAGACTGTGGAGCCTACCTCTTTGGACATTTTCTTCCTAATTATCAATTATTCATTTTAATACTTTTTAAAACTTAACAAAATCCTCCTCCCCCCCCCGCCCCGTCTCTCCACCCATATGTATTTTTCTCCTAAAGCAAAAAGCCTGCTCCTATTGATACCTACTAAAAACCAAATCTTTTGCTTCTTCTTTCTGAGAAATTTTGACTGTGCACCCAGAGGTGGAGATGTGAGCTTCTAGCTTCTGAGGCTGCATCAGACTGGGATGGAGATGACCATCATGCATTAGATGTCTCCAAGTTCAGGGTGGGCTGAGGTGGTTGGAGTGAAGCTTCTGCAGTCAGTGTTAGTGCCTGCGCTCCAGAAATCTGGATTGTTAGCCATGAGTTTTAAAACATTGCCTCTGGGGCTGGTCTGAGTTAGGAGTCCACCCTGTTCTCAGAAAATCTCTACTTTGATTATTAAAAAATCATATTGATATAAAATTTAAAGCACAACAGTAAGAGACAAAACCCCCAAATCCTCTTTCTCTTCATTTCCTCTTTTTTTTTTTCTTGGTTTCTCATCAAATGCAATGCCAAACAATACCAAGATAACCCTCGCTGCCAGCCCTCTACTGGGCAGTGGGATTCTTTGCCCAGGTGGCAGAGGGCCCCAGGTCTGGCTCTGGTCACTCAACAGTACAGTGAGAACAGAAGATCAGAAGATACTCTGCTTCCTGTGGGGGAGCTTCTTCAGGCACAGCTGAGTGACCACTCTGACCTATTTGTTTCTCTTTTCCATTATGTGCTCATGAGACACAATGCTAACTCTGTGATCTCCTTGGGCCTTTGATTTTTTTTTTTGGTACTGGGGATCGAACTCTGGACTTTGTGCTTGTGAGGCAGGCAGTGGATCCACTGAGCTAAATCCCCAGCCCTGCATATAATTTTTTTAATAGAAGCAAAAAGCAGATCTGATGATTGCTGGAAAAAAGGATAGAAGCAAAAGATTTGCTGATCTTCAGCCTGATTCTTTGTTGGAACCTGGAGCCTGGCAAAGCACACAGGTCTCCAAGTATCTAGTATTAGAACTGGAAAATAATAGAACAGTCTGTGCTTGTGTCTAGATGTGCCCCCAAAGCCTCTTGTGGTCATAGGTAGGGCTTGATCAGAGGTGGCTGGATCTAGACTATGTGAGTGTGGTATTGATTCGTGGTGCAATGCTAGACTCAAGGGAAGTAGGATTAAGGATGTGAGTGCTGCCCACCCTAAGTAGCCCGGATAATACAGAAGGGTTAGAAAGAGCTGATAGATAGACTGATTGCCTGCTTCAGTGTCTTCTACCCACCATGAACTGTTGCTCTTCTGCCATGTGCCTCTCTGTCTGGGAGCCAGATGATTATGGACTGAAACTGTGAGCTAAATAAACCTTTCCTCCTTTAACTTTCGGTGTCAGGTATTTTGTCTGAGCAATTAGAGAAAAGTAAGTAAGAGAGTCTGCTTATTCTATCTGCTTCTCATGAGAAGGAGAAAGTTTACATGGAAGTGTCAGGGGGTCTCAGGTTCTACTGTAGAGATTGTCTCCCCCAGGGACCTTCTGCTGGAACACCAGCTCAGACTTTTACTGGTTCTGAAGTAGCCCAGGTACAGTGC